GTTTTATTTAATAGATATTTTAAATTTTTCTAAAATGTTAATTAAAGATATTTTATCAAACATTTGATTAAATTTAATGAACTTTTTTTATTTAAATTCTTGAGATCTATAGAATTTAAATAAAAAAATTGTCATCAAATTTAACCAAGCAGTTGCTGAAATATTCTTTATCAAAGTTTTGTTAAAAATTTTAATGCATCTTCTATTTAGTTTATTTAATAGATGTTTTAAATTTTTTCTAAAACTTTGATCAAGAACATCTTAACAACTATTTGATCAAATTTAATAAACTTTTTTTATTTAAATTTTTGGGATCTATAGAATTTAAATAAAAAAATTTTTATCAAATTTGATCAAGCAGTCACTGAGATATTCTTAATCAAAGTTTTATTAAAAATTTTGACACAGCTTTTATTTGGTTTATTTAATAGACATTTTAAATTTTTTCTAAAACTTTGATCAAGGATTTCTTAACAATTGTTTAATCAAATTTAATAAACTTTTTTTTATTTAAATTCTTAAGATTTATAAAATTTAAATAAAAAAACATTATTAAATTTGATCAAGCAGTTATTAAGATATTCTTAATTAAAATTTTGTTAAAAATTTTAACACAAATTTATTTAGTTTATTTTAATAGATATTTTAAAATTTTTCTAAAACTTTGATTAAGAATATCTTAATAACTGCTTGATTAAATTTAATAAAAATTTTTTATTTAAAATTTTTATTATTTTTGTGACTTTAAATAAGTATTTTTATTAATAATTAAATAAAAAAAAAACTTTTAAAAAAATGTGATAATGATAGTACTATGGTTGTAATTATATAGTGGTATTTTTATTATTAAAAAAAATAACTGCATAAAATTATATGATTATATAGAGTTTGTGATTATATAGGAATCTCCTTTAATATAGGTGGATATATATAAATTATTACAAGATTATAATTTATCAAACCTAACTAATTAAGCATTTAAACCCCAACCTTAATCCTAACTCTAATAATTTATAAAATTATTTAAATTAGTTCAAAGTAGTTAAATTATATATGTTATAATTGTATAATAATTATATATGCCCACCTATACTAAAGATCAACCTCTTTTTTTTAAAACTACAAGTCTTGCTTCTTACTATCATATATATGTTTTTATTAATATTTGTTTCTGCAATTTTGTATATAAAAATTAGTAAAAGAGTTGTAATAATGTTATATTTCATATTTAAATAAAATAATTTTTTTTTGATATATTTTTATATACTTTGTATTTTTAGTTATATTTTACCTTTGTCATATCTTCAAAAATGCTTTAAAAAAAGAAGAAAGTATAATTCAAGTAAAACTATATATATAATATTTATCCAAAAAAGATAAAGCTAAAAAAATGATATTTAATTTCTTAAAAAACTAAAGTAAGAAGAGCAGAAGTAGCAGAAATATAAAGGAAAATATGAACAATTATTGATAATTTTTGCTTCTTATAAGTTATTAAAAAATTAGTCTTGATTTTGTAATATAGATTAGTTTTTATTATATATGATATACAACACAAAATAAAAAATAAACAAAGAAAACATATCAAGAATTATATAATAAATAAAAATAATAAAAATATACAAATACAACAATTGAATAATTATATAAAGCAAAAAACAATAGAATATTTAGAAAAAAGCTTATGATAGCAAAACAAGCAAAAACATGAATAGAGACACTTTAAAAAGAACAAAGCCAATATAGAGCAGAAGATATTAAATATACAGAATTTGCACTTTGAAAAAGAAACAGTACAGCATATTTAAGAGATAATACAGTTAAAAATAAATTTGTATAAATATATTATATTAGAAAATAACAAAAACTATAAAAACTTATATACAACAAAAAGAACAAAATAGATAACATATAGCAAGAAATGATTAGCTACTAAGTATACAAAGTTAAAACTAGAATTAGAATAGTTTAAAAGACTAAATAAATAGAGAAAGTATTGACAAAGACAATTTAATAAAACAGTATTATAATCACTTATACAGTGTTTTAAAAAATCTATTAAGATATTTGCAATAAAGCAATATATAAAAAATGAATTAAAGAAGAAAAGAAGAAGATACAAATTTAACAAAAAGAAAAATTCTAAAATAAAGATAACAAGAAGTCAAAAAAAAGAATAAATACTAAAATAAAAATTATAGAAAAAAATATTAAAGTCCTTATAGCAAAAGAAATTTTAAACAAGATAATAAAAGAATTAAGGCTAAAAACTATAGCAACATTTTAGTAGAAAATAAAAGCTTCAACAATATACAAATTAGAAACCTACAAAGAAATACATTAAAGTGAATATTAGAAATTATATATTAAGCAAGTATAAAAAGTATAAAAGACAACATTAAAACTAAAAAAAAAAAAAAGAAATCTGTAGCTAAATAGATTAAATAGACTAGAACTCAAAAAGACACTAAAACAAATAAAAAAATCTTGTACAAGATACAATAATAAGAAAACCAACAGAAGTTAAGAATTGAAAAAAGAAAAAACATTGTATTTTGAATAGCAGAAAGAATTTTAATAGAAGTAATTAGAAGCTAAGTAAAGTATACTAGATTATAAAAGAAGGTTTTTGAAAAAATCAAGCCTACAGAATAAGAAAAAAGAAGAAGATACTTAGTTTTTTAAAAAAAGAAAACTTAAATAGATTATTTAAAATTTAGAAGTAGAAGAACTAAGAATAATATTAGGAAAAACTAAAAAAATAGAAATCAAAGTATAAGAACAGACTATTATTAGAAAAAAATATAAATAAAAGAAGAAGAAATGATTATAAAAAATTATATAAAAGTTTAATTAGCAATAAAGTAGATAAAATATATAAAATAAAAAATATACAATGTAATAATTTTATAATAAAATTAACAATTTGATGTTTTACATTATTTGCAAGTATTAGCTATAGCCAAAGTGCATTTATATTATAAAATATAAATATAAATAGATAATACTAACAAGGCATGAACTGTTAGCCTATAATTAAAAAAAGTTCTTAGTAAATTAAAACCTGAAAAGAGGCTAATAGTTACTGAAGCAGATCATATTTAAATAAAGCCAAAAGTAAGTTTCTAGTTTAGTTAAATTAGTAATAGTTATAAAAAGATATATAATTCTTGAATAGCTTAATCTTAAATAAATAGAGGCAGAATTGCTAAATTAAAAAAAATAAACAAATATAGGATATAATTTAGGTTGAGATATAATCTAGTAGAATATAACTTCGATATGATATTTATACTTTATTTTTATATAAAAATAAGGTATATATTATTTTGTTCTAAATTAGATTATAATATTTTTCTAATTTGATTATATAATTATATGATATTTTTATTAGAATATAGTTAATAATATTTTTTTTATAGGCTTACTCTTACTAAAATGCACTATAGGTATTGAACACTATAGTTGCTATTTCTCAAAAACATACTAGCTAACACATCTCTGGAGCATTAAGTAAAAATGTTCAGAACCTCCAAAAACTTTATGCTACTAAAATTTGGACCTTTATATCTAACCCCTATCTTACTCTAAGGTTGCATCCTAACTCTAAATTTTTGCCAAAAACATATTAACACCAATAACACCTATGGTGTATTTTATAATTACTGTTTTTTCTATATAATTATATGATATTTGTACTAGAATATAGATTATACTTTATAGCTTTTATTTTTTACTACTAATACTATTACAAAAAATAAACTTTTAATAAAATATCAAATAGTTAATAATACTACTCTGATTATATAATATATTCTAAATATATATTATTATATAGTTTTTTATTTTATATAAAAATTATATAAATTTTTCATAAACTAATATAATATAATGATCTAATTAATTTAGAGACTTGTTAATGCCACCCTCATTTTTGTTAATGCCACCCTTACATAGCTCTAATTGGTCTTTAACCTTTCCGGAACTCTATGAACGATGCTTACCCTAATTGCTAACTTAATTAATTACATGAATTCACACTGTTTCTAAATACTATTTGTAGAATTTTCAAGATTTAGACCAGTTAGGGTTATATAGGGAGTGGCATTAACAAAAGTGAAGAGTGGCATTAACAGTTCTCTTAATTTATTATATAGTATTTATAAAATAAAATATTTTATTAATATATTTTTTATTAATTAATAATAAAAAATTAAAATTAAAAATTCTATTAACTAAATATAATATAATATTATTAGTGAAAATTTTTATTTAATATAAAAATAAATTATTTGTTGTATATTACTAATTTGTAATGTAAGCCAATCAGATTTCAAGATTAGGTATAACGCAACATGATTAAAAAAAATTCATCATTTTGCTAAAAATTACTTATAACACAAAATCTGTACAAAAACTACTTTTAGTACTCTAACAAAAAGGTTTTCTTATATTATATTAGTCACATCGAATTTTGGTTCCCAATCCGATGATTATATCGAGGTCTGACTATACTATATTATAACGTACAAATAGAAATCGCCATGTTAATAGGCATGTGAAATTTAGTACGTAAACAGAAAACATTAATATTAAAAAAAAACTATAAAATTCGTGTTATAAATAATTTAACACAGCATATCAATATTGTGATTATAATAATTATAACAGTTACACTTCTGTGTAATCACGCTATTTTTTTTCTCATTCAATGTTGCATCTACAAATTTGATGATCGACCAATAATCTGATCACCCCGGATCAGCCCGTCGAAGCAAAACAAAGCGAATAAAGAAATTATTGCCTAAGCCTACCTTGATGTATTACTGTAATAAAAAATGTCAGGATGGAAATTTCACTCATATAAGCCCGTATAACATAACATTAAACCGGGTTGCATTAACTCCGATAAGAATTAAATAAACGTTAAATCCAAAGATGGCGTGTGCAAAGATGCATCCAATAATTTAGCCCGCAGTGACATATTGTAGTACAATAAAATGAAAGATTATGATGTTCCGAAGCTATTTACGAAGGACATAATTAAATCCGAAAATATTATAGCTAACGCCAGCCAACCTTATCAGGGTTAAGTTCTTCGGAAAGGTTTTCGGGAAGATGGAATTACTTTTCTGAATAATCAAACGGTTTAGTCCGCAACACAAATCAAGATGTGTACTAGATGATGATTTGACAGATATAGCACAACTACTTTTAAGACGATATTTCAGCATCTATTACCAATTAAATCGACAAATAAATAAAAATTTGGCACAGGCCGCACCTCAAAATTATGGGGTCGCTTAAAGCCAGTCATCTCACATGGTTACCCGAGCCAATGAAATAGCAACTTAATTAAATATCTAGCGATCTAGTAAGGTGTCAGGCTTCAAACAACCCCAGATTGAGCTGTCGGGAATTTTAAATTTTCTGGTTTTTCATAGTAAATCTTAAATACAAGTTTAGACATATTTATATCACCGTTTACAGATCAATTACCTTTTATATTGAAAACCGGTTTGACATAATTTTTTTTTTTTTTTTTTTTTCTTGTAACCAACCAATGTTAAGTTATGACAAGATAAAGTTATAACACTTACCAACTTTACTATCAAGAATATACATGATACAGTATTCAGTTATAACAGATCGTTATCTTATGCTCACACAGAATGAGAGAGCTTAATATCTAATCGGAATTTTTAAGTTAAAAAGCATTTGCTTATAGGTCCTTTTACGAAACACGATACGCTATGATAGGATCACGCTGCCAAATGATCACCGTAGCATTATTTTATAGTGTAACATTAATAAAGCTGAAAAAAAAATGAAAATGAAAACGAAAACTTACTAACGTGATGTCGTCTACAAAGCTAAAAAACATGATTAATTAGCCCGTGTTTTTGCATAACCAGATATAGCAGGTATGTATATAAATAATAATACATATGTATTTAAGTAATTATAGATTATTTTAATTTTAAATTATTTTTATCAGATCTAGTATGTCAAATATCGATATCGATATTAACATTAGTTTTATCGTTTGCCCCCGGTCTTAAATAGTGGCAGATCAGGATAAATGGTTGCCCCAAGAAACGCCCGATTGCCATTTGTAATTAAAATAAAGTAATTTGGCGTTAACTTTCAAATTGTACCACGTGGAAAATTATCCCGAATTACATAATTATATTTAGGTCAGATGATCAACTTGTTTGTGGTGACAATTGAAAGAACAATAAGCTTTTTTTTTTTGTGCAAGATGTCAAAATTACAAATGATTAATAAAGTAACGCCGTTTTTAAAAACCTTCGAATCTTGAAAAAAAAATCAAAAAAAATCAAAATACGAAAAAAAAATGAAAAATAAAAAATCACCAACTAGCAATGCCTCACCAGACGTGAAAAAAACAATCGAACGCAATAAAAAGTTAGCATCAACATCTGAAACTGATTTAAAAAAACGTGCCAAAGTTACAAAACCTACTATATCATCTGTAGGTAAAAAAAATCCTGAATTGAAAAAATCTTTATCCAATCCCGATGATGCTAAAAAACCATTATTCAGACCCGCTGGCACTCAGAAACACGTAACAGAACATGACGTAACTCAATTATCAGAACACGCTAAAACTCATTTAAATATCGAGTCCGAAAACGCTACGAAGAATCGAACTTCCCAAGTTAAATCTTTAGTTGGAATTGACGTTTCAACAAGTGTCAAGCCTTTAGTTAACAGAAATAAACCAGTAACAGGTAAGAATATATAATGTCGTGACAAATCAATAACAAATAAATTATATCTATTAGATTTTTAATAGACGAGGCATAACAAGAGTTGTTAGTGTACTCAGTTAATCCAAACCTTAAATAAAACATTCCAAAATAAACTAAAAGTTGCTTTATTCTTGATCTGAGCGATAAAAAAAGGTCAAGAAAATTAAATCTATTTCTCTTATATTGACAGGTACAAAAAAACGACCAGCTTCAATTAAGATTTCGTCATCGACATCCACTGATAATAAGGAAGAAATTTCCACAGAATCACCCACGAAAAGCAGGCATTCAACTCCTCCCGTAAATAATAAAAATAAACGACGTAATTCTACAAGTTTCGGTTCACCTAAAGAATATCCGTCCAACGATTCTACAATTGTATCTCCACGATCTGCGACTTATAAACGTACAACATTTGAACACACAAGGCAACGTTCATACACAATACCTAGTAGTGCAGCACCAAGTCTGACTTCCATTTCTGAAATTCCAAAAGGGCATGATTTTGTCACACCTTTCACATCAGAACTTACCAGACAACAAGTGCCTACTACTCCGATTGGTGTTACCAGAAGAATTTCAAATGCTTCTTCTGTAACCTCTGAAGACAGCTTATTTCCACTTTCACCTACTTTTTCGTCTGCAACTTCTGAAGGAAGTTATTATCGCATATCTAGATCTTCTTCCATGGCCTCTGAAAATGGTTATAAATTTAATCCTTATTATGACGAACTAAATGATGAAATAGATAATTATATACAAAATGACCAAAATGACTATTTGGCTGATGATTCTACTGATGAATTCGATTATGATAATAAGTTAATGGCCTTATCTGACAGTGATTCTGATTTAGATGATTTCTTTTTCGGTTCTGAGATTACTTCAAGTGATCTTTACAAGAAATTCAAAGAATCTAAAAAATCTCGACAAAATTCTACTTCAGATGTGAAAAAGTCGAAATCTTTGAAATCTTTTGTCGGTTCAACCAAGGAATCCTCATTAAACAATGTGGATAATCATAATATGAATTTTGACGTTACTTCTGAATATAATAAAACGCATGATGATTGTGAGATGATTTCGGTTTTGCAGGAATTTATCACTCCTGAACATGAACAATATGATTCAAAGAATTATTTTTCCATTTCTAAATTTAATGAAGATTTAGAAAATACCATTTCTAATGTCAAATCAGATAAAATATCCTCGGATAATATTTATAATAGTGTAAAGACAATCGAAAAAAAAACAATTGTAAATGATAATGATAAAAATATGGCTTATAATCATGATACAAAACATTATACAAAACATGATACAAAACATGATACGAAGCACGATACAAAAAATGAAGTTGATGAAATAATGCGTTTTGCTTTGAATGATGAAAGTAAGATTGTGAATGATTCTTCATTCCGAAAACCTAGAAAGAGTTTTGGGTCACGAGAAGATTTTGATAAACGAATCGAAGAAATTTTGGATGAAATTCTTTTTGACAATGATGACAAACCTCCAAACTCTTCTGCCAATATTGAAGAACCTACAAGGAGTGTTGTGCAAAATGAGTCAGATAAATCTTCTGCTTTGGAAGAAAGTAATGAACCCTCGAATTTAAATGATGACGGCGATTGTAGCGATATTGATGAAGAGATTGAAAAATTGATGAAAGAAATTGAACAAGATGAATTAGAACTTAAAATGTTGGGAAATTCAGAAGATAGCACATCACCTGTAGAAAAAATTGAGCGGGGCACTACGTCTCTGGAAGATGATAGCATAAAAAATTTTGATCATAAAAGTTCCTCTGAGGATCGTTGTACCATAGATAATCCTTCTGCTTTAGAAGTCGCTACGCATGATGGAATCCAAAACAATAATGTATCACTAATAGCTACCGATGATCATATTATACAAGATGATACATTAGATATAAAGGCAGAACAGTCTATGGTACAAGATAAAATTGTGTTGACACCGGATGAGAGTGTGTTGACACAGGACGAGAATGCGCTTACACCAGATGAGAGTGCCTTGACACAGGATGAGAGTGCGTTTACACAATATGAGATTATGTTGATGCAGTATGAGAATGCATTGGCACAATATGAGAGTGCGATGACACAGGATGAGAGTGCATTGACACAATATGAGAGTATGTTGGCACAATATGAGAGTGCGTTGACACAATATGAGAATGAGTTGACGCAGGATGAGAGTTCGTTGGCGCAAGATGAGAGTTCGTTGGCGCAGAATGAGTGTGTGTTGACACTGGATGGTAGTGCATTGACACAAGATGATAGTGCGTTGACACTGGGTGATAGCGCGTTGACACTGGATGAGAATGCATTGACACAGGATGAAAGTGCATTGACACAGGATGAGGGTACGTCACAGATGGTAAAAGAAAACATGACAGTTGATGAGGAAATACTAATTGAGACTGTATTGGACAATAACGATAATGATATTCAGAACAATTTTAATATTGAACAATGTACTATACAAGAAATAGTTACACAAGATAAAGATTCATTATTTATAGCGGAAGAAGATATAAACCAAGAACAGATTCAAAAAGACCTATCTGATTTGGATATAAAAAAATGTATTACGCAAGAAGATAGCATTATAATACATGATGATAATGTGTTGCCGTCGGTAGATGATCAAATAGGAGTGTTGGAATATGTCACGCAAAATAACGATAACTTAGAGACTGAACAGTCCACTATACATGACCAAATTGAATTATCAAACAAAGAATCCTTCGCAAATCAAATTGAAATAAAAGATGAACCTAGTGAATGCGAAAAAAGTAGCGATATTTCGGAAACATTATCGAAGGAAGTAGGCCAGGATGTATTTAAGAATGAAGAAACTTTACAAGTCAAGGATGTTGAGGATCCCGAATTAAGTTCTGAACTTCAATATCCTGTAGAATCGTCTGAAGATAACACAACGCAAAAAGATCATACGGATATAATTAGGACACTAGATATAAAAGTTGATGCGTTCGAGGTTGTTGAAGAAAGCGTGAATATTGTAGAGCCGCACAATATTACTTTAGAAAATAGAGAATTTCGTGATGAACAATATAATTTGGATTTACAAAATAATGTACAAAATGTTCCAGTATTAGAAAATCACATT